TTGTGTATCTTTTACATTACTTCTGCAAGTTCTTCTATCAATGCAAAATGATATTGTTGCTGCCATCAAGTAAAACAGAAGTCAGAAGTAAATTATTTCCTGCACGTCTACTCCTATCATACCAGAGAGCTCAAGTATTTTCTGTGCTGTTATTGACAAAATGAATATGAATAATTTATTAGAAATTATAAGCATCCCAATACACCTGGTAACCTTGATGCTTTGATAAACTTAAACCTTCCACTGAGTCAACATTCAGCCGATGTGAGCTGCTCATTATATAAAAACATTGCTTAGTAATCAGGACTAGTGAAAGTGCCTGAAGTCATTTCATTATTATTTGCAAAAAGGGACTTTCTCAGTGTCACAGCTTGCCTTGACTGAGGGTGTCTAAAATGTGTGGCACTCTAAAACACTTTGCAAAAACTTAATCAGATGCATTGCCTGTGCAGCTAAGCAGACCAACAGTGACCACATGAGCTGCCAGGCAGGAGGAAAAGAGGAAGACCACAGAGGAGATTTATGGAAGCAGTGAAGGAAGACATGCAGAGGGGTGGTGTGACAAAGGAGGATGGTAGAGATGGGATGAGCAGAAAGTTAGATGAATAGAAGAGAGAATGACATCACAGTCCAATAAACCCTCAACAAACATGGTTGTGGGAATATGCTTTACTTTCTACGAAATCACCTGACATAAACCCCAATGGGAGCATTAAATACTGAGAAAGTCAAGCATTCATTACATGGCAAGAGGCTATTTGGAACAGCCATGCTGGCAAAACAGTGGTATCCATGGTTTACATGAACTTGTGGTGTCTGTTCAGCTGAGATGTATGGTTTCATATATATGTTTTATATTTTGATAATAAAATTAATATTGTTATTGATTGAGCCTAACAACGCAGGAACTCCAGCAACACGTAAAGCTAAAGAGGAACAACTTTTGTTGCTATTTACTGATTGAGCCACCAGAAAATAAATATGAGCATTCATCTAACTAAAAAAACATTTTTTTAATACATAGGCGAGAAAAAACAGTAATCAGAAAAAGGTGTCTTCTCTAAGTAGCCACATGGTAACAACCCACACTGCTTTGCTTATTTATTCCTCACCTCCCCTTCTTGTCTTATCGTTCTGCTCTCGAAAGCTTCATGCATTTTGTTTCACAGGTCACCTCACTCGACGGGCTGAACGCCTCTCGAGTGCAAAACGAGAGGCCATTTCAGAGCACAAATGCTGTTTGATGTTGCCATGCCAAGCAACACAGATCTGTCGGTGAGGGAGTTAAACAAGTAGCATTTGTCTAAGGCGATGTCACTGGGAGAAGCAGAGAAGTGGGTATTAATGTGTGTTTATGCGTCTGTGGGGAGGTGAAAATGTGATGGGAGGGCTGATGTTAAGCTATCAGGGAAGAGGCACTCATCCTCTTAGCTTGAGCAACTGCAACAGGATAAGGGCTACAGGAATGAGCAATGACAGCTAATCATGCACATTTTTTATGTGTGTTCAAAGGCACATTAACTATCTAGTAAGGGATGAAATGTGGCAGCAAGGTTTGTGTGTTATGTGTGTGTGTCTGTGTGTGCAGAGCAGAGAGTGTGCACTTGATGTTCCATGAATAGTAAATAAGAGATAAGACTTTTTTTTCCACTTGCAAGTACACACACATGCACATCATATTCCCCTGTTGGGAGCATTGCATTCAGTGGCTGTCAAAGATAAGGCAACTAATTCAAAGTTGAGTCAGAATGGTGGAATAAGTGAATTTTTACAGAAGGGCTAAGGAGGATTAAGTCCTGAAAACAATAATAATAATAAAAAAAATAGTATATCTTTATACATAGGTGGAATAAAAATACAAAAATAAGAAAAAGTGAGTTGAAAAGCTCATCTGAAAGCTGGCAGGTGGTTGTACTGCAGGGGACGAAGAGGGAAAAGAGAATGGCAGGAAATGGGGAGAAAAATGACAAGGATGGGAGAAGGACGAAGGGGTTGAGCAGCTCACGCAGCGATGCGTCTGTGATCACTGGAAAAGCACTGTTCTAGAAATATGCCATTTAATTACAGGCAGGACAGGCTGACCTTATAGCGTGTAGTACTTTAACATGGATTCAGACAAATAGGAATGGAGCATGACAGCGGAAACTGACACTAATAAAAGAAATCGGGTAGGCTCATTTTCCCCACCTCACTGTCTGTTTCACAATCCTTGGCTGTGCTAAATTCTTTATTTGTTTTTTCTCTCTACTTGTCTTTTGTCACTCATTCTTAGCAGCAGCTGTACCTGTTTGATATAGATCTTCAACTTCTCTGCAGGTCAAATTGTGTTTCTAATTATTTGCTGACTGACTGACACTACAGGCCAGTTTTAAAACATGTTTTATTAATAAAGTAACTTACTGTGGACCCTGGTCTGTTCCCAGAGTTTTTGAAGTCTCAGTTTCTTATTTATTTTTAGGTACTCTCTGTTTCTTTGCTTTAAGGTTTCTTTTATTCTTAGTATATTGTTGTTTAGTGCTGAGGTTTTATTTTCAATTATTCCTGACCATTATAATGCTTGTTATCTTTTAGCAATAGATACTGTTTACATTCATGAATTTATTAATGCCTGTGTGTCTTTCCTCATTTTAAATGAAACTGGTGTTTATATAGTGCTTTGCTATTCCAATCATTTTAGTAGTACAAGCCTTATTAATGCATTCACATTCATACAACCACTTTTATCTATGGCTAAGACTTTTAGCCTAACATTCAGACGCTCACACTTTGATGGATGCATCAAGGGCAACTCTGTCTCACTCCGGAACACTTTAACATGTTTTATTTTTATAGTTACTTGTCTCTTCTGTCTTGATTGTCCTCACAAGTGACTCAAGTGACTCACACTTGTGTCTCAGCTGTTTCCACTTCCCTGATTAGCCCATCTGTATAAATAGTCCCATCTTCTCCTCAGCCTTTGTCTCACTATCTTATTAGCTCCCTGTGTTAAGTTCTCGTGTGGCCTGAACGATCTTGGATTCTGTATGGGACTTTTGTTTACCAAAGACAGACAGCAGCATTAAAGATTTAAATGCAACTCGTGTGAGATAGTTTTACAGTCTAGGGTTAGAGGGCAGAGCAGGGTGATAGTGAACAGAGTTCAGTCTTCTAACATCCTGGTGAATGAAGCTGTTTATCAGTCTAGCAGAGCGAGCCCGGATGCTCTAGAAATCTTCTTCCCGAAGGCAAGAAGCTGAAAAGGAAGTGTGAAGGGTGGAAGAGATGGAAGAGATGGGTGTTGAAAATGTCCATGAGGAAGGGCAGGAGGGCACAAATAATCTTGTTGGCTGCACTCACTATGGCTTGCTGGGTCTTCCGGTCAGCCGGTCTTCTGGCAGGAGGTTGTGCAGCCTCGGTTCCACACAGCAGCCAGCGAGGACACTTTCAATGGTGCCCTTGTAGAATGAATACATGATAACAATTGCTAATGACAAAAAACAATTACAAGAGCAGAAAGCTAATCGGGGTATTCCATATGTATTTTTCCAGCAACTAACAAAACTTTAGTCAGCCTAATTGTTTCCTGTTCTTCTTGGGGAATCCAGAGACACTGCTGGGCCAGATAGATATCACCCCTGAAATTCCAGGTCTACCCTGAGGTCTTCAAGGGAAGTTTCCCTGGAGGAATGCTGATTAGAGACCTGCACCACATCGCATGGCTTCTCTTTGACACAAGGGAGCAGCAGCTCTATATTTCTAAAGCTATTCCCTGCCAGCTTACAGAGGAAATTAATTCATCTAAATGTATCTGCAGTCTAATTCTTTTGGTCACTACCCAAAGCTCATGACCATAAGTAATACATCAAAGGATTTTCTTTCTTGCTCAGCTCTTTCTTCACCATAAGTCTGCTACACAACCCTCATCACTTGCAGCCCTACACTAACCCACCTGTCCATCTCACAGTCATGACTTCAGATTTGGAGGGAACAATTCTCTTCAATTAAACGAACAAAAAATACAATGAACCTTTCATGTAAGAATTGCTTGCCCAAAAGATTGAACCCCCCTGGAGTCACGGAGCTCAGCCAGGCACAGCTGCAAGAAATATCATTAAGCCACCCATCAGCTGCTGCGTACACACAACTGTACATTGAAAATGAATGTGTTTCTTGGCTGTTTCTTGTCTTTGGGGCAAATTAGATAAGACAGCAACATTTTTTATCAGCATTCTTAGAAATAAGAGAAAGGAAGTAGTGACTGATAAGCGAACTATAAAAAAGTGAGATGAGGGGAAAGCGTTTACAGGTAAACCTCATTCATACACTGTGCACAAGAGAAACAAAGAAGTGGATAAAGCTCAGAAGTGATAAACTGCATCACTGTGTTGTTTTGTTTCCCTCTACAATGTAAATGAGCTACCTATATCTTTTCTGTGAAGGTGGCACCGGATTAGCGCATAAAGATAATGTATGATGTGTATTAAAGAAACTCTACCATTGTAAAAAGAGTTTTACACTGGTTGAAAACAAATATCAATAACAGAACTTTGCAGGATTTTGCTCAAGACACTACCTTTTCTTAAAGTCATTCATTTTAATAATATCCTGTCCCTGCATTTAGGATAAAATATTTTTATTTTTACGGTGGGGATGGTGGTGACTTAAACTGCAAAAAGAGGTGTGTAATATTGATCCTATAATTCATATCCACATTTGATGTATGGTTCATGAAAGCACCTTTGAAATCTTTTATATATATGCCTCCCAGTGTTAGATATCAAGCTAATGGTCTGTTGGATCAATGACGGATAATCAATAATCATAGGGACACAATGAGCTCGTGTTTTTTCCCTTCTACTCTACTACAAGAAAGATCTGATGGGGTAACGGAACTCAGAGGGAAAGCACATGCTTGACTCTCAAAGAAGCAACTAAGAGAAACCTGCTTAATGAGACAAAACATTTTGTTACTTCATTTACAAATGACAAGCACTGATTTATTTCTCCTCTCCTCTTCTCAGGCTTAACCAGTGCAGATACAGTGGTGAATATGCGGAAGGTTACCCATCAGACCATAAGTGAGGAGCTTTCTAAAACAGTTCTGCTCCCTTGCCTCTTCACCCTCCGCCCCAGTGCTGGTTCATTCCATGAGCCGCCCAGAATCAAGTGGACTAAGGTTTGGGGCCAAAGAGGCTCTGATGGCCTGCAAAAGGAACAGTCAGTCCTGGTGGCCAAAGACAATGTGGTCAAGGTACAGTAAACATATTTACCGTTAGTAAATGCTTGACTTACCTGTAATTTAGCTATTTCTCTCAAACATTTTTTTTTCACTATTTTTCTCACTCTCTGCTCCTCAGGTGAAGAAGGCCTTCCAGGGTCGTGTCACACTGCCTGGTTATAATAAGAACCGCTACAATGCCAGTCTCGCTCTGACTGGGCTGCGCTCTAGCGACTCTGGTCTATATCGGTGTGAGGTAGTGGTGGGCATTAATGATGAGCAGGACACAGTTCCTCTGGAGGTCACAGGTGAATAAAAAACTTTTCTTTCACTGTGATAGTTATTTTAAATTTAAGGTAAAGTTTTCAACATTTCACCTACATTTAAATTACTGCTGGTAATATATAGTGAATAGTCACACTAACATCACCCGCTCCTCACCCTACCTCTAAGGCAGAAAACTCCAGAAGTGGAAGATTTAGAGCTCGATAACCTCATCCACAAGCTAGTAGGAAGAAAACTAGGCGCCAAGCATTTGGTGGCCAGATCTGTAACCATGATGCTTGGTCAATTACAGTGGGAAGAAATAGCATGAACCCCTGTCTAGCAAAGTCCATGTATCTACCCCATCCTGTGGATGCACCACCTGCAGGGATAGGCATTGATGTTGCGTTCAGTGTGAGCTGTGAGGTAGGCAAAAGTAGGCTCCAGGGTCTTTTTTTGTAAGCAGTTGCAAAATAAATATATCTGCAGTGCTGAATTACAATAAAACAACAGTATAATATTTGTGACTGGATGACTGATTCTGTTTTAAAATTGCTCCAGTTTCATTTCAAAATGATCCCAGTCACGGTCCAGATGATTTTAAAATTATTTAAAAGCTTACACTTCATTATTTAGTAGTGTGTACAATATCTGTGCAACTGATTCAGGATGTAGTATCTGTTATATAAAGAAACAACTTGGAATACAACGCAGTAGCAATTTAAAATTACTGCTAGTTCATCTGGTTAGATG